AGATTCTGCAGAACCTTTAGAAGGACAAAAAGTATTTCCTTTACTATAGGACAAGCCTAGAATGAGAATTCCCAAGCTGGACACACTACAAACAGCAAAAAATATGAAGCTCTCAGGCTTCAGTGAAATCATTACTAGTAAACATGAGTTATAAACTGACTCCAATTTAGAAGCCCTGCCACTGAGCAATTGCTTTTGTGATATTTATTCAAAAAGTCATAAATTCTATTATGTGCTCATATGACACTCTTGAGAGACATTCATGAAAATTAAGGCTTATCAACACAGTGAGCAAACACATATGAATCATTTCCTAAAAAAAAAAAAAAAACAAACAGGCAAGGTATAAGAAAATCATCTTCCAGGCTATATATCTTAATTGGGGAAAAAAAAAAAAAGAACATGTTGGTTAAAAACCAAACGCTGAACTGAATTTGATAGAATTCTTTTCATAAGCAGCCTATCAAGTAATAGGCAGAGATTTTTAACAACCTAGCTGAGCAATAAAATGGCTAACATTTAAAATAAGACCCTCTAGGGGCACCTGGGTGGCTCAGTCCATAAAGCGTCCAATTCTTGATCTCAGGGTCCTAAGTTCAAGCCCACATTGGGCGTGGAGCCTTTAAATAAATAAATATTCCCTAATCACTTAATTCTTTTCTGCATACTTTAAAGAAAGTGTTCCCACCTCTGAAAAAACAAGATAATGGAATTAAATAGTCAGTAATAAGCAAGGAAAAGGATTGCCCGGACTGTAAGAAAAAAAGCTACTTAAGGTTCCATTCCTCTCCCTCCTAACTAATCGTGTGTTTCAAGTGATGCAATACTTGGTAAAGAACACATGTACCATGCTTCCTAAACTCATGATTTAATACATGAACACTAATCATTTTATTATCTTATGATCTGAGCATGGTACTTTGTTACAGTTACACCTTTGGAATCGGGAAAGGAAAAATTCATTTTTCACAGACAAAATTATTCAGCAAACAACAGAGAAGGAATGGACAACAAAGACCTAAGCAAGTAATATTGGAAACAATAAGTCCATTTTTGGTTTTTGAACTTGCCCCAGTAATAACCTTGTATTTCTGGGGTGCCATTTCATTTGCAGAGCACTTCCTTTTGCTCGTGTTGGCTTAGGAAGTAGATAGAGCATGTGTTGTCTGCATTTAACATTTGGGACAATGTAAGACCAGGGAGGTTATGTGGCTTCCCCGAGGACTAGGGTGCGCAGCCACAGCCTACAGATAAAATCCACTCGCGGCCTGTTTTTGTGTGGCTCATAAGAATAGCATTTACATTTTGCAAATAGAGTTTCCAAGTGAGCCCACTCACTCGTTGGCACCTCTCCTATGGGTGATTTTGCACTATGACAGCAGAGCAGAAAAGAGACTATATGGCCCTGAAAACCAGAAATATTTATCCTCTGGCCCTTTACAGAAAAAAATTGCTGACTCTTGTCCAAGACCCACAGGGGAGCCATGAACAGAGCCCAGATTTTTGGGAGCCAATCCAGTGTTCTTTCTACTCAATCTTGTGCCTCTCTCTAACCCCGTGGTTCATCCCAGGCATTTTTTTGAGGAATAAGAGGAAGTTTACAAAGCATAAATGTAGGTACTTGGACTAGAAAGAGAAAAGGCATTGAGAAGGGAGCCAGATACAGCAAATGAGGAGGAGACAGGAGAGGAATCTGACCCCAGCAGAGACCATATCCAGAATCTCACCTGATTTAGATGATTTAAATGATGAGATTTGGAAACTTCTGAGTTGAGATTTCAGTTAGATTTGAGACTTAAGAGTTCATGCTGGAATGGGACAAATATATTTTGCATGTGGAATTAACATGAATGGGAGGGGGGCAAAGGGCAGACTGTACTGGGTTGAATAATGTCCCCCTAAAATTCATGTCAGCCCCATACCTCAGAAAGTAACTTTATTTATAAATACGGTCTGTGTAGGTATAATCAAGTTCTGATGAGATCATCCTTGGGATGAGGGTGGGCTCTAATCCAGTGACTGGTCTCCTTATGAGAAGAGGGAAATTTGGACACAAAGAGGGGAATGCCATGAGGACAGAGTCACACAGGAGAGAACTCTATGTGACAATAGGCAGGGCCTGGAGTGACATGTTTACAGGCCAAAGGTTTCCAAGGATATCTAGCACCACCAGAAGCTAGGAGAGAAGCATGAAACATAGGCTTCCTCAGAGCCTCCAGGTGGAACCAATCGACCTTGACTTCAGGCTTCCAGCCTCTAGAACCAGGAAAGAATGTGTTTCCATTTTAAGCCACCCTGTTTAAGGTACTTTATTACAGCAACCCTAGGAAACTAATGCAGATTCGTGGTCAAGAGGAGAGGCCTTTGAAGAAGAATCAAGACCAAGAGAAAAGGAGGAAGTCGTGGAGTGCCAAACCCCATAAAGAAGTTTTTGTTTAAAACATAAACTCGGAGTACCTCTAGAAGACCTTGGTGGAAAACAAAATGAAACAGAAACCCAGAGTCCCTGATGATTCGATCTAATTGGGTTTTACAAACACATGTTGCCAAGGTAAGCAGAACTGACTTACATTTAAGCTTTTTCTTCCCAGTGGATCTGTTTACAAGCCCATCCCCTAAATAACAGGCTTTCTCCCATCACCCCTCCATGTATGGGAAACAAAATGCATTTTACAACACAGGAAAATAGATTAACTAAAATCTCTGTAAGAATGTTCCTGACATACCTCTTTTCTGAAATAATCTCAAATTTCCACAGATGGCCTAATTTTTAAAATACTTTGGACAGTGGACCCTTGAACAATGCAAGAGGCGGGGCACCTACCCCCGCACAGTCAAAAATCTGCATACAACTTTTGACTCCCCAAAAACTTAACTACATGGCCTGCTGTTGACCAGAAGCCTTACCAATAACATAAACAGTCGATTAACCCGTATTTTGAACATCTATTATATACTGTAGTCTTACAACCAAGAAGCTAAAGAAAATGTTAAGAAAATCATAAGGAAAATACAGTTACAGTACTGTATTTATTGAAAAAAATCTGCATGTAAGTGGACCTACACAGTTCAAACCCATGTTGTTCAAGGGTCAACTGCATAAGTGATTAAAAAAGAATTATACACTTTTTTAAAGATTTATCTGAGAGTTGGGACACCTGGGTGGCTCAGTCGGTTAAGCGTCTGCCTTCAGCTCAGGTCATGATCCCAGGGTCCTGGGATTGAGTCCGGAATCGGGTTCCCTGCTCAGTGGGGAGCTTGCTTCTCCTTTTGTCTGCCCTGCCCGCCACTCTCCCTGCTTGTGCTCTCTCTCTGCCTGATAAATAAAACAAACAAACAAATAAATAAAAATCTTAAAAAAAAAAAAAAAGATTTATCTGAGCGCCAGAGAGAGAGCATGAGCAGGGGGAGGGGCAGAAGTAAAGGAAAAGGAGAGAATCTCAAGCAGATTCCCCGCTGAGCACTGAGCCCAACACAGGGATCCATCTCAAGACCCTGAGATCATGACCTGAGCAGAAACCAAGAGTGGGCCGCTCAACCAAGTGAGCCACCCAGGTGCTCCAGAATTGTACACTTTCAATCAGATACAATACATGTATCCAAACAATGTATCACGGAACCATCACAGTCACTTCTAGAATCTCCCAATGGCTCAGTATGCACCTCTTACATTGCTTGGCACCAGATATACTAAAGGCTAATTCTCCAAGCAAACCCCACATACACACATTTTTCAGCACAACATTTTTGAAGGTTGAAACAAGATACATTCCTCCATTTCTTCAAAAGTGTAAGAAAATGGTGGTAAAGACATGAGGTTGCAAACACAATATAAAGGTAAGTCAAAAACTGGGTGCATCCTATGTTCCTATGTAATTCAGTCACTGAATAATAAAAAACTTAGATTGACTGCTTTGAAACTCTTTGCAGACCATATATAAAATATACATGAATACAGTTGCTACAAGTTCATGATAAAGTTGTCCTTGGGGGCCACACTAAAGCCCACGCAATGCTGGCACTTTAGTAGCTAAATTCTTTTTAGTAGACCCACAAGAGATTCATCTGAGACAGAGTTTTCCTCTTTATCATGATGTCATGTTGTATCTTGGTATCAATTATTTTAAATAAACTATTTCTAATCTAGATTCTTAATGAACTCAGAGAAGTTTCCAGTGGATTTGCCTTCCAGTATACCATATACAATCGTATTTGCCTCCTCCTCCCCCATTCCTGTTTCATTATTTTCCTATGTTTTGAAACATAATTGTATTTTTTTAAAGATTTTATTTATTTACTTGAGTGAGAGCAAGCAAGAGAGAGAAAGCACAAGGTGGGGGGGTGGGGCAGAGGGAGAGGGAGAAGCATACTCCCCGCCGAGCAGGGAGCCCAATGCGGGACTCGATCCCAGGACCCCAGGATCATGACTTGAGCCAAAGGCAGGCCCTCAACCGACTGAGCCACCCAGGTGCCCCTGAAACATAATTGTATTTTAAATAACCAGTGGTGATACCAAAACAAATACCAGCTTGATACTAGTACTTTATGAGGGCCTAATGCTAGTTGGGACACAAGCATCACGCTCCTAAACCATCACTTAGCTCCAAAAATAAAGAAAGAAAACCCACTGATAGCTCTGAGTGGTCTGCAGGGCATTCATGACACTATTTCCTAAGACTGGGCATTCTGGAAAAGCCCAAGATCTCTACTGCGCCAGTGGAGAAATTAACGGGGCATCTTAGCGGTACGAGTAAATGTATGTGTCTTCCTTGTCTCAGCACCCGAAAAAATCAATCTAAATGCCTGCATTTCTGAATCACTGGGGACCACCACAATACCCTCGGGAGCAAAAGTTCATCACACTCTTCTGGAGTTGGAGCTCCAGAGCTTCTTTGGCTTCTGACCAAAGCACTCTGTCAACCTCTGTCCAAAGCCATATGCTATCTAGAGAAGGAAAGCATGCATCCACAATTAGGGCCAATGCCCCTGCGGCGCTTTACCTTATTCTGCTCACACGCGTACTGTATCCTCAGAGTGTCCATGGCTCTGATCATGGCTTGCATGGCGGTGAATATGTTTTGGTAAACCAGCTTCGTGAACCCCTTTCTATCTTCATCGCTGTAACCAGACCCATGGATGATTCTCATTTGCTTGATAAAGGTGCTTTTGCCACTTTCACCAGTTCCTGGTAAGACAACACAAGGGGAAAACACAGTCAGTGGTCTTTCAAAGGAGCACGCTGGACAAGAAAGGCCCTCCTGGCGGTGTTGCTCTGTATTATGAAGAATAGGTTGATTGGGTGAACTTGAACTTGGAAAGGGCCTGCCAGTAGTAGTATCCTAGACCCCAGGCAGAGGGATCCCTATCTTGTACCTTGTGCTTTAGAAGGCCTGATCTCTCTCTCTCTCTCTCTCTCTCTCTCTCTCTCACACACACACACACACACACACACACACACACACACACACACACAGAGACACACACACACAATTAGGGGTACACGAGTGTCTCTGTCCCTTGGAGTAATTCTAACCATCAGCTCTTGTAACTAACACTGTCTTGGGCCCAGGGAACTGCTCCCCCACACCCCTTGTCCTAAGTTCCTTCTGACGATTGCCAACTGTCTGAAAGCCCCGAGCATTTGAGGGTTTCATCACTGCCAATACAGCAGTGATGGTGATGGGGGCTGCCTCAGAACTCAGAGAGCATTTGAGCAGTAGGATAAAAGTCTGATTCACCTGTCAATTTCTGCTTTTTGGATACACAAATACAAGTGATCCTTGCACAATCAATCACCATCCCCAGTTGTGCCAACTGTCTGTATTCCTGCTCCTCCTCCCATTCCAATTTGTAGTTCAGGAGCTCCTCCAAACTCACAGCCTCTGCACGTGGCAGTCGAGGAACAGTTTACAGTATCAAACCATTCCTACTGCCCTGGAATCTGTAGAGATGTCCAGGCATAAGGAGTGCAATATGCCAGGACTTCACGTTACTATCAGACTGAGATATTGCTTGAAAGGACAATGACAGTTACAGTGTAAGTGAAAGAGATTTCTATGATGCAATTAAAATATTTTCTAACATTCCCTGTGGTAATTTACTGTACCTAAAACTAATACAATGTTACATGTCAAATAGATCTCAATAAAAAAAGAGGATTTACTGTAAGAGATCCCATTACCATGTTTCTATTCTTGCTCCTCCTCCTCCAAACTCACAACCACAAGTTATGTTGTGGTCCATTTTCAAATCTCCGTATTGCTCTAAGAATTTTGTAACAATTCAGGTTGATGTGCCCCCAGCAGGGTAAAGTTTCTTCAGACTGAAATTAATGAGAAACTATCTCAGAACTAAAATGATTCAAGATAAATTCTAACTTTGAATGGATGAGTTATACAGTATTCAAATTATATTTTAACAAATCTAGTGCAAAAAAATGTTGTCTCAGTATTTGTCAAAAGAACACAAATTACATGAAAATCTTAATTAAAATGTAATTAGTGATTTTTCTATAAGGGTAGCAAAAAACCGTGGAATAGGAAATGATTAATTATAAAATCTTTACTACTTACCCATATCTCATTGGCCCAACAGAATACCCAGACAGTGCAATTATAGATAAATTCAATCATCTTTGATACTTTGCTGACCCCGAGTCACAAAAAAACCACAGTTGTACACATCTTTTTTGACATTTTAGTTATGAAGACATGTACATCATGGTAAGAGGATAGAACAGATTGATAATAGGTTGTTAGCTTGATTATAATCTGTAACTATTTCAACTTACAGGATGTGGGTCTCTACGTGGACTCTTACCTGGGCCCTGCAAACATCAGGGTAGGGCCTATCACAAGGGCCTGAGAAACACTTAAGAGACTCGATCAATTTTTCCACATGGATAGTTGAGATACACCTGTTAGCGTTTGATGAGGTTTTTCCTTGCAAGAAAAAAATGTTCCTTTAGATTGACCTTTTCAAAACACAAACATGCTTTGCTGTCTCTCTCCCCAGCCTCACTCAAAACCCTCAACAGCTAACTTCCCAGTCTTCTCGGGAAGAAAGACAAATCTCACTACAGCCATCACAGCTGTGCGGACTGGCCCCTTGGGCTTCACCAGCCTCCTCTCACATACGCTTCGTTCCACCCTCTACTTTCTGGCACACTGGCCTTCTTGCAGATCCTCCCTTCTCACTGCCTTTGCTCATGCTCGGCATGTTCCTGGAATGCTCTTCCTTTGTCCTGCTCACCTTGGCTCTTGGCCTCCCTAATGAAGTCAGGTTCCCCGACTGGAAGTTCTCATGGTACCAATTGTAGCACATGTTCTGGTTGCACTTTTGCTTATTAAAGTCATTCTCCATTTGACACGTGTCTCCCCTACCAGCCCCTAAGCTCCCTAACAAGAGATGGGGGCCATGTTTGTTTTTACTCGCATTGTCTCTTGTGGCAGGATAATGTCTGACACTTGGCACATGCTTAAGAAGCATTTAAATTACTTTAAATTGTGCTAAAATACACATACAATTTAGCATCTTCCTTTTTAAGTGTTCAGATCTTAAGTGTTAAGTACATTCACATTCACATTGTTGCATAATCTCCAGAACTCTTCCTCCTGCACATGCGTTAAACAACTCCCCGACTCCCTGCTCCAGCTCCAGGGGACCACCATTCTACTTTCTGTCTCTATGAATGTGACTACTCTAGATACCTCATAAAAGCAGAATTACACAGTATTTGTCTTTTTGTGGCTGGCTTACTTCACTTAGCATAATGTCCTCAAGGTTCATTCAAGATGCTGCATGTGACAGGATTTCCTTCCGCTTAAAGACCTGAGTAGTATAGCAGTATTTTTTGAATACATGATAGCAATTAAGAGTATACCCAACCTCAACTACCTGGATACTACAGGTATGGGCAACAGGGTAGGTTTTCCTCTCCCAACCACCCCATGAGCTATGTGAGCAGCATGACTTCAATCACAGCAGGAACCACCACAAAAAGTGGACAAAGCAGGAGGCTTATCCTGATTCTCTGTAACCTTTTCTGGGTTGTTCCTCCTTCCGAATATTGGCAACTATTCGAGTAGTCACTGTGTGGCAGCTATTCTATACAAACTACCTCCTATCTTCTTGCAACCACCCTACGAGGTTTGTACTGTTACCTTTGTTCTACAGATAAAAAACCTGAGGCTCACCAGATGTCCAACAACAGATGAATGGATAAAGTAGATGTGGTGTGTGTACACACACACGCACACATACACACACTGGAATATTACTCAGCCATCAAAAAGAATGCAATCTTGCCATCTGCAATGACATGAATGGAACTAGAGGGTATTATGCTAAGCGAAAGAGCATAAAACAGAGTCTCAGGTGGGAGGTCCACTGAGTCAGAGAAAGACAAATACCACATGATTTCAGTCATGTCAGGAATTTAAGGAATAAAACAGATGAACACAGGAGAGAGGAAGAAAAAATAAAATCAGATGAAAATTGAGAGGGAGGCAAACCATAAGAGATGCTGAACTCTAGGGAACAAACTGAGAGTTGCCGGAGGGGAGGTCGCTGGTGGGGATGGGGTAACTGGGTGATGGGCATTAAGGAGGGCACTTGATGTATTGAGCACTGGGTATTATATGCAACTGATGAATCACTAAATTCTACCTCTGAAACTAAAAAGAAAAGAAAAGAAAAAGAAACCTGGGGCTCAGATTAGTTAAGTAGTCTCTGCAAAACCATACCATTAGCAAGAGAAAGACAGGACTTTATTCAATCAGACTAATGACAGACTCTTGTCAGGGGAAAAAAATCAGGGTCATGACCAGTAGGATCAGCTATACTGGTCTAACAAAGACAAATGTGAGGTTCACAGCCACATACTGAACCCAAGCCCTAGCAGAGCCACCGTCCTGCAAACACAAGCTGCCAGGCTCAAGGAAGAAATTTCAGACAGGTGCATGTACTCACAAGTAGCCTCACTGCTACCTCACTTCACCTCCGGAGGCAGAAAAGGTGGGTGCTGCCTTCCGATGTCAGAGATGCCATTCACCGGCTGTGAGTCAGCCAACAAGGTGAGGTTGGTGCCAATGCAGAGCTGGGGCTAGAAGCCAGGCTGCCGATGCCTCAGCCTTCAGGTTTACCAAAGATATCACCTTCCCTGAAGGCATTTTTTTTCCCCTCCATCCCCTCAACAGTCGGGCCAGCCCCCGTGGAGCTCTCTAAGCACCTGGGACACCCCAGTCCCATCTTGTCATTGCTTGTTTGCAGATCTTTCACTACTTAGCCCAGTAAGGGTAAAAGCTTGAGAGTCACACATTTGGGTACCATGAATACTGTCTGCTACATAGTTGGCTGTCAAAGAATGGCAAAATGCAGGTATGAATGGAACAAATGTGAGAAGCCACAGTTTTCTTTTATAGGTCTTATATCATGGTCAATCACATAAAAATAAGACATGAATTGTCTAAAGGATTGCAGTGACATCAGGTGCCCCTGAAGCCACCATTTCATGATGACTCTCAGCTCTCCAAATCCCATATAATAAAGTGAGGACCTGTGGGAACCTTATACTGCCTGAACTTGGTCCCAAGTCCCAGATTACATTAGATCTCTGCTCTTGCAGGATCCTGGGGTCCCTGAATCTCCTTTTGTCTAAGATGCTGCCATGCATTCTTCTGTTCCATGCCAGCAGGGTTGACCCATGGTCCAGGGCTACCTTATCCCAAGCAAATACTAACCCTTCTGCATTTTATACACTGTGAAGCTAATGTGAAAGGAGAGATTATGTGACTATCTCGAGGCAAGCTGTGATTTTGGCCCTGCGACCAGAAAAATTACTCAAGACTCAGCCCAAAGTTCTACCAAGGTAGAGAACCTTTTTAGTTATAAAGGCCATTCACCTACAAGAGATTAAAGCCAACCCCAACACCAGCCTCAAACATAGTAACAGTTTTTAAAAGTCATTGACTTTTCCTTTTGGACAGGGAGCATTTCCAAAAGAAAATGTTAAAAATGATTTTAAATATTAATAAAAATTTAATTTTTTTATTCACGCTTATTTGATAAACACCAGTATTTTTAAATACTCTTCAGTTCTATATTGCCGTTATTTGAAGAATAAGAAACCAAACATGGAGGAAAAAAAGGCCAGGTTAAAGGCAAAAGAGAGATTGAAAGACATGC